AAAGGAAAAATTGAAATCGCATCATATGACCCCTTTAATAATGTATTATGGTCATTCTGAATGATATCCAGTGTAATATTTAAAAGGAACGCATTTCTAGCAGTACTTGTGCCTTATTTATGTGATTGTGGGGGACGTACTGTAAAGGACTGGGAATCACTGCTGTATGGCACAGTGTCAGGCTGTCAGTACAGGAGGGCCGAGCAAAGAGAAGGGACTGCGATTTCTGTTAATGCTGACCCCATTTTCTTGAATGTGTGCACATTGAGTGTCTTCCAGCAGTGATTAATTATGCATGCCTATTCTGTCCATCTACTCACTGTGAGGCTTGAAATAATGAGCAGTATAAAAGAAAGTAAAACAGAGAACTGTGGATGGAGGCTGGAAGACAATGAAAGAATATGAGATGAAATGGTAAAGCAATTAACCAATTTTACGAAGGTAAAATGAGGTGAGGGGAATTATATGGACAGAGAAGAGAGGGTAACAAGATTTGCATCTCCTGAAGGAAATACCTGAGCTTCCAAGGCAGCAAAAGAAATAAAGTTTTATGTAAGTTTAGATTTTAGGCTTGGATTCTGTGTAAATGCAATACTGCATCATGCCGCTTCATGACAGAGTCATAACAATTATCATACTTGGCTGCACACAAGAATGAAGAGTCACTGTCAAGAAAGTTATACATGGTTAAATATATGCAAAGATTCCAAGATTAATATCAATTCTATATGCAAATAGGTAGCATGAAAGACTAACTGCAAATCAGTATCTCTCTGTTACATTGATTGTGTGATTGTTACATTACATTGTGATTGTGATTGAGTGATTGTTACATTTAATCTTAAATTTTTTCAAGTTAAACTGTTTTGTCTTATATTTCTTTTTCCCAAATGTCCCCTTCACAGGACCAGGCATCCTCTCTCAGAGTGCTTTGCAGCTCAATAATCAAGAGGGCACCTTTCCCTATCCAGTCAGTTACCATAGCAACCAGACCCTGGCCCTCGGCGACCTGTCGGCCTCCCAGCCTCCTCGCAGTGGTCAGGTGGGAGGAGCGTTACATAGCTATAATCAGGTGGGGATTCATCTCTTTGTGAAAACTCTGATTTTGACCCTCTTGTCTCAAACCGTGTGAATTTTACCCTGTTTTTATGAGAAAACCCTCCTGGGGGAATTCACTAAGTAGTGTGTCCGCTAATAACGCTGTTTATGTGCATGCACTGCCTTGATGTTTTTAGTATTCTTTTTTCAGTCATGGCAGTCATTGCCTTATTAAAATAATCTATAAATTTAGTCAGTGTTCATTCATTTTAGTCAGTTGTACTCAGACTAAATGCATCTCATTTTAGTTGAGAGATTTGACAAATCAAACATTTCATATATTAAATAATATTTTAGATATAAACATAACACTGCAAGATACTAAAAATGCATTGACTATGTTTTTTAATGTTTTTGATATTTTTGGAGATGGAGCCCCATGCATGACATCTTAATTCATGGCTATGTTTAATTAATTTGTTCCCTCATATTAATTTAATTAAATTGTGGCCACAATGTCTATTCCAGTCTGAATTAGTACCACAATTTAACTAAAACAATGCAACAAATTAATAAGTTGTGTTTTTCCTCACATCAACCTTTAACAAAAACATAAAAAAATATAGTCATAAAAATATTGCCGTGATATTTTGTAAAAAT